GTGGTGAGACAATATTTGCTCGGTGATGAAATTTTGGTGGAACCATTAAATTTTAAGCACCATAAACTGGGGTTGAAAAACTTAGTTGATTACTACCCGCTACTGACCCAACTTCACTACTTCTAGGTTTAACAACATACAATGTAACATCATCACTTGAAACACTAATGTAAGCAATGAATCGTTCAACATCTTCATTGTCGGTTAACAAATAAACTTTACCATTTCTCTGATAAGATAGCCTAAATCCACTTAGGGGCTCTAAATTCAATTTATTTGCAACACGTAACATTAGAGTTTCATAAGTTAACTTTTTTAATGACAGTTTTAGTTGAAGATTCATGGGTAAAGGCATATATTGTAAAACACCATGAACATTATCCCATGACCCTCAAAAACACAAATCTATCCAAACATGATCAACATTAGATGATTTCATTATTGTAAATTAATTTACTAAACAAACGAGCTGCGAAACTAAAACCTGTTACCGGATAGGGAAAGATTTCGTTGGATATAGGAACGGATGTCGTCGGAGAGAGTGATAGATGGAGATGGAATGAGTTGCGATTTAGGGATTTAGGTTATGAGTTGCTGCTGCTGCGTAGTTATATACCCAAAACATTTGTGTTACGAAATTAAAACCTGTTGTGAATTCAGAAATCGAGTTACGAAATTGAAATTCAGTATTGCGATAGTCAGAATCTCGTTGCGATTTACTAAATCGCAACGCAAATTTGGGAAATCGCAATGCGATAGTCAGAATCGCGTTGTGAATCTGGAAACTGATTTGCGATACCGGAGATCGCGTTGCGAATTATCGATCGCATTACGATTTAGTTGGTCATTTTGGCAAATCCAAAAAAAGTTGGTTAAAATCGTATATTATAAGGCATTTTTGGTCACTGAGGTTATTTTCTCTTTTAGTAATGATCTTGTAGATTACAGAACAACAGGAGATCGGCCGAAATTCTTTTACAACACTCGGATTTGGTTTTTTAGGAACAAGAGCAATAATAGTTGAATTAAATGCAGGATGAATTGAAGCATTAAGAAAGAAAAATTTGACTACAGTAACAACATCCTCACCCACTATATTCTATGATTTCTTGAAGAAATAGGGAGTGAATCTGTCGGGACCCGGAGCTTTATCATTGTCTTGACAAAAAATAACTTTTTTGAATTTGGAGCCAGGATTGACTTACTTCATTCAAGAAACAAGGATGAGCAGTCCAAAAATTGAAGAATTTAAATGGCTTTGGTCTGTTAGCTGGAGCTTCGTTGGAAAGCCAAGTAAGTGACATGCAATGATCCGAGACTCCTGGAGCAATAAACTCAACAAAAGAATTCTGAAAGATCAAAGCCCAGTTAGAATTTATCATGACCCTGTCTAGTTTCCTTGCAAGAAAAAATTCTTTTTGCTTGTTACTCCAAGTGAAAGTAGGACCAAAATAAGGATGGTCTTGGAGTTGAAGCTCATAAGTGAGATCCTTGAAATCTTTCATTTCAGAAGTGAGATAGTGGCCATGACTTCGTGGTCGGAACTTTCATGGGAATGCATGATAATATTAAAGTCCCCTCCTAGGACCCAAGGTGAGTTGTTAACAGTAGAATCAACTTCTCTTAAGCTATTCCAAAGCTGCCTTTGAGCAATCCCATCATTACTACCATAAATTGCCGAGATAAACAAAGGAAACCCAAGGTGAGTTCCTCTAACAGTAATGCATTGATCGGTAATGTGAATGATATAGAGATTAATACCCTTCCTCCAAAGAACCCAAATTCTACCGTTGTAAGCAAAATCATAGTTGGAACAATAATTACAGTTCTGGAATTTATAATTGAAAATAGCTTCTGTTTTATCCACCTTAACTCTAGTCTCCAAAAGGCAGAGAACGTCGACATTATTCTGAGTGGCTCGATGTACCACTTTATTCTGCTTTAGAGGACTGTTAAGTCCTCTAATATTCCAGAAGCTAACTTTCATTGGGAAGGTGATCCCAAAGAACCCCCTTGACCTCCAGCTTTAAGACCTTTAGCACTATCAAGATGTTCCTTCTTTTTTGATTTAAGTTCTTTCACCAAGTTTGCAACACCCAATGATGCAGCTCTCGGTTTCCTTTGCAAGGTTTCTGAACAGTTAGGAGTCTCTTTAGCAGAATTGAGTATATCAAATCTGTAAGTTGAACATGATAATTGAGATTTAACATTTTTAGGTCTGCCTCGAAACTTTTTAAGCGCAGTATGTTGAGGTTTTTCAATTTCAGTAGCCTCTAGCATAATTAGGTCACTTGCAGCAACATCAACTTGGTGTGAATCTGCATCTGTACCGTCAACTTTCTGCTTACTAGCAACATCATTAGAAGAATTCAGCTTCTCTATTCTTACTGGAAGATTAATTTCGCTGCTATCTCCAGTAATAGAGGTAGCTTGAATATCTGGATTTTCATGTTCTTGTAAGTCAACATTTGATTCATCAACTTGCTGCTTCTTAGCAGCATCTTTAGAAGAATTTAGCTTCTCCATTCTGATCGGGGAATTAACATCGCATCCAACAACATTTTTTTCTCTAGCTGTAGTAAATGAGTCAGTGATTTTCTGGTTGTTAGTTTCAGTAGAAGGAGTTGCATGATTCTCTGGTTTTTCGTGTTCTTGTAAAGCTTCTATCCCACCAACATGAATGACTGTAGTATTGGGAATTAATTCTCCCTTCTTCTTCCAAACTTGTGAAGCAATAGGATTTGTGTTGACTTTAAGCAAGCATCCTGTTTCATTGTGACCAAATACGTTACAGCTCCTGCAAGATTGGGGTAGCCAAGGAACCTCTACTCTGATAGAGGTTGTTTGCCCATCTTTCAGAGCTACCTCAATGTGGTTAGGAATTGTGTCTTTAACACCTATTTCTACGCAGACTTTTGCAAACTCGAGTCTGGATTTTGTAGCAGTAATGGAGTCGATAGAGATTGGAACTCCAATTGCAATTGCTATATAGCTTAAGCCTGCTCTAGAGAATAGTTCAAGGGGAACGTTGTACAATTGTACCCAAACAGAAAGTTTAGACAAGTTGAAGCTAAGGCTTTTCAGGTTAGGTTCCCATTTCCTAAGGATTAAGGGCTTATTATGCACATGCCATGGACCTTGTTCAAGTACCCAATCTCTAGCAGATTCATTACTGAAAGAGAAAATGAAAATGTTATTTCCAGCAATACTAACCTGGATTCGAGATCCCAGCTGCGCTTTACTCCATAATTTTTCAATTGTCCTATGAATAGAAGTGAAACTTGGAGCAACCCCCAGAAATTGGCCCACTAATGAAAGTTTTAACTCGGAAATTCCATCATCGAGGATCTCCGAAGGAGGGAGGACAGTCGGGATTCCATCGCGAAATTTGGGAGGGAAGTATTCTAGGTTCTGGTTTGCCGAGCCTCCAAACAATTTTCGCCAATCCATCTTTCTAGTAAATAGCCGCAATGAATCGCAAGAACCACAACGAACGAGAAGTAACAGTAGAGATGATCTGGGAGGGAATCGGAAATAAACGCCGGCGAATCAACGAAAGACTCAGGTTCTATTAGACCTGCTAATGTGCACCCAGGGAGTTCTGTTATCGTGCGCCATTTAAGCTTTTAGTGTTGTAGAAGTAAAGCTTCCTCGATAATCATTATTAGATTTTGAAATGTAATAGAATATGGTATGGGCATTTTTCTAAGTATAATTTTAATATTTTTTTTGGAGTATCGTACTCCATATTCTTGTGTGGATATGTGTTTGAAGCTTGTTGAAGAAATGAAGGAGTGGCGTGTTACATAAATGGTCATCGATGAACATCATAAAAAGATACGTCCCTTACAGCTTCAAGTATTAAATGCAGCACACAGGAATCAGAACACCTCAAACAAAGGAATCAGAACACACAATCTATGAGAAAGATTTAAAATACGAAAACAAGAATTTCAAAATGACTGGCAAAACAAATAAGCATGTATATGAAGTATCACAATGGACGGGAAAAGAATCATACCCGAGATAGCCGAGAAAGAAGAAAGGTCTCGACGGCAGCATAAGCCCACTTCCCGGCTTATATACTGATCGGATAGCAAAGCCAGGGAGCTATCGCTTCGCTGGCTGGTGCCTGGTGGTTGTTAGCGGAGGAGGAAGGGTGGTTTGATATGGGCTGGATTGGGGATGGCATAGTTTTTTTATATGCTACTTTTTAACGTAATCTATACAATTTTTTTAAATATAATATAATATAATTAAGATTACGTTAATAAAACAAATAGGGTAAACTACACATTTAGTCATCCAATTATCACTTTGGTTATGTTTTAATCATCAAACTGGTTTTTTTAAAATCTTCACTAACATTACATTTTGGTCACTCACAGTAAAAACATAAAAATTGTCATATTAATTATTTTGTTTTCTAAACGATAGGTGATCAAAACGTAACGTTAATAATGATTTTGAATAAAAAATAATTAGATTGTCAAAGTGATAATTGAGTGATTAAATACGGAACTTACCTAAAAATATATAGTAGTGATTTTAACTTTACATGAAATTTTTATAAAAAAATGGTAATTTTCTTGCTACCGCCTACCAGTGCTCTTTATAAATAATTATTATAAAGAAATTTTTTAAAATATAAATTTTAAATTAATCTTATAATATTAAATATTTTTTTTATAAATTCTGAATTAAACTGATATCTGATTAATTTATAATAACAATTTAATCAAAGATTTTATTTTAGATATAGATTAAAACTTGTAAAACTATAGAGTGGCCCAAATATTTTAGGAACATTTAGAAGGTGATTATGGAGTTTGTAGTGTAATTTAATAATCCTGAATCTTGACAAGTGTAACCATTTTCTCTCATCAATGTGCCTTGAACAAAATATGACAATCTTCCAATGTTACATGACCATCGAAATACTGGAGTCAGTATGTAATGATAACTGATGAGCAATGCGAAGAAGGGAGCAATATTCTCTGTTAATTGGTCTTATTCATATCTATTTTTATTAAAATTTCAATTTATTAATTACACAAATGAAACAATATTCTCTGTTATGAAATAGAGAGATTCAAACAAAATGTATGACAAGCAATTGCAAAGTAATCACATCCACCCCCCATTTTGTAGATTCCTAGCCTGTTATAGCCATCAAAATGACGGTGGTCAATCCTGTCCATGCCCACCAAAACTTTGTTCCTGCCACCAACAATGAATCTCCTCCATTCTGTACGTCAGAAATGATAAAATTAAACTTGTATGAATGTTGTGTTCATCCTCAAACCATCCATTAATTTTATTTATAGATAGAAATAGAATGCATTACCAAATTGAGACTCGGTGATGGTGCTGGTGTTGTGTCATCTGTAGTTGGCACTGTAGGAGGTGCCGGGGGACTTGGAACTGTGGGTGCTGGAGCTGGTGCATGGTGCCTCCTGTGTCTGCGTCTGTGCCTGTGCTTGTGCTTGTGGGGAACCGGTGCAGGAGCCGGTGGCAGAATAAGTGCAGGTACTGGTGCTGGTGGCAACTTTGCTGGTGCAGGAGCCGGTGGTGTTTGGGCTGGTGCAGGAGATGATACTGATGGGGGTGGCGAGACTACCGGTGGTTGAGCTGGAGCTGTGGTTGGAGGAGCCTGTGGCGGTTGTGGGGGTGGAGTTTGAGGAGGTGGGACAATTGGACTTGTAGCTGGTGCAACTTTTGGAGGGGGGTTGGTTACAGGTGGCTGCGCTGGTGCGATTGGAGTGGTGGTAGGCGGAGGCGTCGCTGTTGAAGGTGCGATTGGAGTGGTGGTAGGTGGAGGCGTTGCTGTTGAAGGTGCGATTGGAGTGGTGGTAGGCGGAGGCGTTGCTGTTGAAGGAGGAGGTGCTGAAGTTGAAGGTGGGGGTAAGGTGGTTATGGTTGGCGAGGCAGCCGGTGATTGTGCATTTGTAATGGCTAATTGGAAGGCGAGAATAGTTACGATGAGAGCCCAAAACCTAAAAGCCATTTTTGTTTGAGATGAGAAATGCATTTGCAGGGGAGAATATATACAAACAATAAACAAAGAAATATTGGGAGTGTTTTGGAAGTAAGATGAAAAATAAATGTTTGGTAAAGTGTCGGAGGAAGAGGGTGATGTTCATTCCAACGTAACGTCCCTTCTACGAATAGTGTGGCTTTAGGTAAATAATAATAATATGATGGAAAGCCATGGTAATTTAAAATGAAAGGGAAAGTCCCACCAAAAAGAAGAAATGACAGGTATAAAGGCCAATCTCAAGAAACCTACGCTACACCCACCAATGGAGGACTGGGAACCTAAACTCTGCTGAGTAGTCCCCATCAAGTTTTGGTTTGCATGCAACCACATCTTTCAAATATTTCTCTATTTCAATCCCCCACTTTGTTTCCTCTTTCAGACCCTACGTTGTTGTTGTAATTAAATAGTACGGTCGATATATGCCTTTAAACTACTTTTTAAAACTATTTTTTCTTCATCGTGATCGCCTCCACTTCCCTCTGAACTCAAATGGCTGAGGTAAGTCTTGCCTCCTCATTTGTAACTGAGCTGCTGCCACAGAAGGACGCCTAAACCGATCTGCAGCGAAACGTGAATGAGCCCCCTGGCCGATAGTTGAACTGCCGAGCTCGTGAAAGCACAAACAACTTCCTTGAATGCTTGCATTGCTGTACTGCTACCGGAACTGTTCAAATGCCTGAGAGATCTGTATTTTTCCGGTGGCCAGATATGTAACTCTACATATGTGGACATGATCGAAACGTAGATTGTACTGAATACACCCGAAAAAAGGAAGGTGATGAAGTGCCGATGATTCGCTGCACCGACACAGTTATCTGCATGCAACAAAAGGAAAAGGAAATCAATCCCGATTTCGAAACATAATATCAATAGTTCCAGCGACATTCTTATTTACAGGACGTCTTGCAACAACGATTTAGAACATAGCTTAATACTTACAAAAGGACAGTGATGACCCATGTCCAAAACAAATGATCCGCAGGAACTGCAATGATGTGTTCTTGGTGGTTTCGGCTTTGAACAATAGTGGCAAAAGGTATAGTTTTCGAGGTTTTCCTAAGACTGAGTAGGTACCCCACACTATGCTTGGAGGTGTGCCGGCACATCGAAATGCTGATAAACACAAGGTCGGAACAGTAGTTGCAGCCAAGATCAATGTTAAGACGGAATGAACAATACCAAGTGTATAGCTGATAGAGAAAACAACAGGATACACCGCCCATACACCCCCACCTGCATTTTCATGTCAACATATGATTAGAAATATTAAAATTCCTAACACATAATACCAGGGATTCAAATAGCGGTCACAGCCGCATTTTCGGTTGTATTGCGTTTATCGCGGTCGCGAACTTAACGGATGCTATCGCAGTCACTGCGTGTATCGCGGACGTGATTTTTTTTAAATTCGTACAACTTTTTATAAAATATAGTAATTATAATTATAGAAAATTATTTTTAATGATTTTTAGAGTATTTTGTAACACTTATAAACTTTAATTGAAAATCACTTTTTTTAATCATAATTATGTTGTTTTACTTTACACATGCTTGGACCAATCCAATCCCTATTTGCATTTAATTGAGCTTGGAGATTGCCCGTCGTTCCTGGACTGTGCTCCTTTTCTGATGACTTTGATGGAGGGGTCTCCTCAGAGGAATTTTTAGAAGGCTCCAGATCCGAATCATAAACCACAGCCCTGGTAACCCGTCCAGAGGATTAAATGAATTATCCGAGAATCCCTACTCCGTTACTCCAACTTCGAAACTAATATCCCCTACCAAGACCCGACCACCTCATTGATCTTTCCCCTTAGTGAGTTCAAGACCAGAATAGAAATTTTTTTACACTGACTCTAATTCAAGTTTTCGCCATACGCCTCAAAACTTCACCATAGCTCTGCAAGATTCTTCAATGTAACATCATTACAACACTGTAACGCAACCCAGAGAACTCTAGCCATGTTGATCTTTGCATCTGACTCAAAGTTTCTGACCAATGAGTTACCTCCACAAAGATCTCTTTAAGATACAACCACTGCAACTCTTCAAGAGTCAGATACAGATCCTCGTTTGCAATAGTTAGTAAGAATGTCTTCCCTCCCATTCTTTGAATCTTTATATATGAATTGTTATTTTTTTTTGAAGCAACTGTGTTATTGGTGATGTTTGGTGTTGTAACGAGAATTAACGGAAAAAACGGTCCGTTATAGCCGCGATCGATCGTTACCCGTTAAATTGCGGCCGTTATCGGCCATTATGGGTGTGATTCCGTTTCACACCGAGATTTCGGCTGATATCAGTCTCGGGGGCCGCCGATACCGCGATATAACGGCCGTTATACCGTTATACGGCCGTTTTTTGAAACCTTACATAGTACAGCAACAGTAAGCGAACCAAATACGCTGCGATATGTAATACAAGATTTCTTAAACATCTGAGATCTAGCTACGCAAATGCAGAGCTTCAGGGTATGAAGTGTAATTTCCTAAATACTACTTCCAACTTCAAGTTCCACTGAAGATGCATTTTTAAGTGAAGGAGAGTTTCAACTCTAGTATAAACCACAAGGGGACCCAGAGAGAGCATACATATCACAAAGAGAATAAACATGAAGAGAATAGTAACAAAGCACCGATCTCGCAAGTGCCTCCCCCAAAGCCACTTGCTTTTGGGTATTTTTTCATTTTGATTCGTAATGGCTCCTCACCAGCCGCACTTGAAAACAGGTGCATAAGATGGAAGGAGGAGGCGCAATCCACAACCCCAGCATGTAATATCATGATCCTCATTGACAGTTCTTACAAAATAATCCTACAAGTGAAAACAGTTCAAACCACAAACAGTGTTCAGTTTGCTTCAGTCAGACATTAAGGAACTCCTTTTTCATTATACAACTGCTCAATCGTCATGAAAAACAAGATCATACAGGTTATCAAAGTGATATTTACATTTCATGTTGCGTTTCAATCATTCACCTAGTCTTCTTCGTTGAAACTTCACACTTTCTTCCCTAATCGAATTCTGACTTCTTATATCTTTACATCTTTTAGTTATTTACTTCCTTCAAGCATTTTACTCTGTTCATTACTTTTAGTTTATGTCTGATAAAACAATTCAACAGAAGGGACTTGTTTGATGTTCTTCAAATAAGTGAAAAATGTACCAGCAAGAGCAAGACTATAGTTCTCTACTTAGAACAACATCGAACATTCGATAAAACCCTTCATTTCGGAATGTCAGACAAAGTCCTAGAGATTACCTACCTAGAATGCAGATAAATTTAAACTGTCGAAGAGGAATTAGAACATAAAAATACCATAGCATCAAGAGGGAAGGGTGATAATTTTGTTTTCCTTTAATTAAAATGGATTCATTAACGATTCTTAGCTCTCTTGGTAGAAATCCAGTAGTCGTTTATGCTAAAGGTTATGCAGTTGAACCACGAGCTTTGAATTTCTACGAATAATATCTACCCTCTTTTTTTCAATTTTTCTCATTTTTTTGATCAGATTGGATTGTTTGTTCCTTGTAGATTGCAATAAACACACAATCTGCATTCTACAATTCAAACTTAATTTTAGTAACCAAGTTTTTTTTCCAAAAAATTAATTTGAGTAACTCAATAATTAAATTAGCTTTCTAACAAATTTTCCTGGAAAATTACTACGCCAGAAAATCAATAGCCGACAACTAACGAAATATGCTGAAGAACAATTAACCATAACTAAAATTCCTTCATCAAAAAAGACAAAAGAAAACATTCCATATATCCCTTATTTACCTAAACGCAAAATCAATTCTAATAATGAAAAAGGTGTTATGAACCGAGCAAGAAGTAATAAGAAAAAGAAGAATAGTTGAGTTGAATTAATTATTTAATTTCCGAACCAACCTAGGAACATTACAACAATAAAAAGGTAAAGGAAAAGAAATAGATTCACAGAGTTTAAGCTCCTCACTTTAACTTAACCACCATGTCCGCCGGAGTTCTAGTGTCGGAGGTGGTGCATTACCATTCAAAAGGGGCGGGTACCAACTATCAGAGCAGTAAGAACGAACAACGAAATCTTCGTTGGACGAATGATGTCATTAACGAGCAGAACACTCGAATCCTACTAGGGCTGTAAATGAGACAGACAGATCGTGAACTACTCGAGATCGACTCGATCAAGGCTTGATAAATACTCGGATCGAATGGACTCGACTCGAGTTCTTAACGAGCCAAAACAAGTTACTTGATATTCGACTCGAAAATCTCGTGAACATTTCGAGCCTTTTCGAGCTGCTCACGAGCTTCAGTTCAGGATTTCGAGTTCGAGTCGAGCTTGAAAATTCTAAACTCGCGAGTTTTCGAGTCGAGCTCAGAAATCCTCGAGCTCGACTAGTTTACACCCCTAAATCCCACAACTCTAAAGGCTGTCTGTGTCCTGACCAAAGCTACCGGTGACGAAGGCAGCAGAATGAGATAAGAGATGATGCAATGACGGTCTTGAAAAAGAAAACGTTATAATTACAATTAAAACATTTGTCTTGCAACGACCGAAATATATATCAAACAAGTATAATAAACCAATATTTCGAAACAAGAAAATAAAAGATCCCGTTGCTTCGATTTCAATTCTTATTTAATTCAAAATAGATGAGCAAAATTCTACAGATTTAATTCAATTATGATCCAAACTATCTCTATACAATCACTATATGGTATACCTATCTACCGAGAAGAAATTCAGAGGTCAAATACCACATCGAGGACATAATATAAAAAGAAAAAGAGTAAATTACATTATTCCTCACTAAACTATATCCTCTTTTCTCCTATTTTACTCACTGTACTTTTAATTTTTCTAGTTTACTCACAAAACTTTCGAATTGGTCCTATTTTGATCACTTTGAATTATTTTATTATTATTTTTGTATGATGTGACATTTATTATTATTATTTAATTTAAAATAATTGAAAAATATAAAATAAAAATAGAAGGTGGCCAGACGCCACGCCGGCCACCGTCGACCGCCTTAGATGGTGGCCATTCAGTCCCAAATTTCATGAGTCTTGTTTGTTCGACACCCTGAGTCCGAAAAATGGCATTGGATGCAGCCCCAGAAAACAATCACCCGAGTCCCAGAATATAATTCAAGACTGAACCCGATAAGTCCCATTTTACACTCCAGTTGCTGGGAACCGTTTGCTGAAGTTATGTAACCCAGTAAACAAGTTCAAGAAAGAATGAACACAACAGTCTGAGGGTAGCAATCAAATAATGTCAAACGTGACTGATGGGAAATGCTGATATTTTAGCTTTTCTTCGTAAAAATAATGAGAAGCATAAGCGTATTTGTACGCCTGTCACTGTGAATTTGTCCAAGGAATTCACTGGTGGCATCAACCATTCTAATAGATATACGAAGCCCTTCCGATGCTCATCATTAACCAAATCATCATCAATAACATAGCAAAGACAACTTAGATGCATATTCTATACTAAGAAATAAAGCAACCGCATGTGTAATGATGGTCAACAAATTAGTGACATTGAAAGACAAATCGGAACCTGTAGCTTGTACGAGAATCCTGTGAGTCACAAAAGACTGCAACAAGCAGAAAGAATAATCAAGTAAAAATCCTACAGCTAGTCATATTTAAGAAGCCTCTGAAGTCAATTTAACAAACAAAAGATGGTGACTCCATTATGTCTTAATGCATTTTACAGATATCACAAGATGCAATGCCTCAGGATGATCTATAAAAGAGATACAACTAAGTGATGTTGTTTCTCTGCTCAAGAAGCACGAGTTGGACGAACATGATCCTAATATTTCCATAATTTCTAAAACATCAGACAAGGAGGATGCAACTTGTAAACAAATGCACAGTTAACATCCTATAATAATCCTTCTACATAGGGAAAATTTTAGATAATTGTATAATTTCAATGTTTAACCACAGGGAATAATCTTGAATCATATACTTTTAAAATGTTTAGGTAATCTAGAGTTCATAAATTTTGAAATGACGTAAATGAAAGAACAGGAACTACTAGCAAACTTGAATTGCCAAACAACAGTCAAGCTTATAACAAGATTCTTGCACGTGTCCTCAAAAATATTCCCATGAAACATAAAACAACCTAGTCATACGGCATTACCTGCCATACAGAAGGCATATTCTCACGATATGGAAGTTGCCGATCACTACTTGTTACATTTCTTGAATATGGGTTATCCACTACATTCCATTTTCCGTAATTCCTGACAAAAAGATTAATCATTACCTTTAAAGTTTACTAGGAATAAGACTTCCATAGGAGAAAAGAAATAATAATATATGCATTAACATTATAGGTTCTGGAATGCACCTTTCTATTCACTACAGTGACTACATTTTCTTAACAAAGATATTTGCTCTTAATAAAAATGGGAACATGAAAAGGACACACCGTACCATAAAAAGGGTAAATAAAATGAAACGGGAACTAAAATCCAAATAGACATCATAAATACTCAGAATTATAAAGCATCCCATCTTTATAATGTAAACCTGTAGAGCCATTCAACCCTATAGGGAAAATGTCATTAGTTGAAGTAATTTGCAGTAGCTGAAGTACGTATAAAGAACACTATAATTGCATGATATTCTGCCAGAAGCTAGACAGTAATGTGAAGATACCAACTGCATAAACTCCGTTTCTACAAGTATAATGGAACCTACCTTGTTAACTCATTCGTTGAATACTTGTTGCCTAAGACAACTGCTTTTGTAGCCATCACAAGCATGGGATGCAATGATAGGAGCCTTCTAATCTCCTGAACCACTGCTTCAGACACATTTTGGATATTCCAGCTTTTCCTACATGTCAACCAAAAATTTCCTTATTGCATATTTACAACTCATGGGAGGATATGATTAAAGTTGACCAGAGAGAGTTTCAAAAGATTGCTAGAGATCTGTCCAACAGATATTGAAATTGTACCTGTTTTCACCCTTTAGTGAAAAAGATGCTGAGCCACGATCTAGCCAATGAAATGCTCCAATGCTGGTGACGATTCATACATGTCAGATGCTATGAAATTAGGTAATCCTATCTGTTATTAATTCGCAAGGATTTTACAATGGATACTTTCCATATACCTCTCAAAACTAACTCAGATTTCTGTCCATTAGCTTTGTTAAATTTTGGTATTTACACCAACATTTCAATGGACTTCAGGTACCCTTGATCACATATCACATTGGTTATTCTTTTCAGGGAACGCTATTGAGTATAATTCTTCAACGACAAGCTGATAGTATAAAAATCTAGATATGCTTGAGCTTTTATGGGAAAGGGTTTTTCCCCCTTTCCGTTTCAAAAAACTATTAGCCAAAGTATTTTAGTTCATTCTTTCTAATGAGATATTTTTCACTCAAATATATGGATAAATATTACAACTGAATGTTCTCCCCTGAAACCATCCCCGATGAGTTCAACATCTATAACAATCCATAAACAAACTATATGCTTTAACCAAAATGTTCCAACTGTTATATCAATAATATAAAGCGATTCAAAGAAAATAAAAGGTAACCAGCATAAAGGATTGAATTCGAGGGCTCAAAGCCAAACCTATCAATCAACAGCAAATTAACATTAAGACCATGCGTGTCTCTTTCCTTTTGAAGACGATAGTGTAATGTCTGTCATCCAGAAAAATATTACACTAATGTCAAAAGAAATCGTTGCATTGCTTAAGTTCCATTAAGGCAAACCTTTGTCCCTCACCTTGAGAGTGGCAAGAAACTCAGAACTATCATAACAACGGATGTACAAAAATCGTTTCATGCATAATGCAAACAATTCCTCGTTGTAATGTTTCATTCTTGCAAATTGAGCTCCAGAGTCCATTTTTTTACAATCTACATTACAGCTTGATCCTAAACAGAGATGACCACAAGCTTCATTAAAAAAAACAAAACATGGGCCATGAAACATCTAACAATTTTCATCAAAAAAGAAGGAATTACGGTTACCTGCTTCCATGATTCTATGGTTTAGCAATTCCGAGAAACGTAAAATATCAAAACGACAATCCAAGTCAATGAACATTGCCGACTGCCCCAATCCGCCGTAGATGACCCCATTCCACTCTTTGGGGAGTATACAAGTGATGGCAGCCTGGATTAGGATGTGGGTTTTGGAAGAAGAAGACGGGCCTAAGAGCTCGACAACGTTACCGACACGTAGAAGAACCCGGTGAAGTGGTGGAAGAAGCAAAAAAGGTCGATCCGATAGGACCCTTTGTAGCATTTCTCTCGCAGTCTCGTCTTCAACGAGCCAAGCTTTGGCATGTGAACCCATTTTCTCGGATAAAAATTGCCGGTTTCTTCGGGAATTACTAAAGCTGTTGTTGTTCTCATGCATAATACTTGTCGACATATAGCTAATGTACACCGTGCTTTTACAGTTTCCAAGCAGGAGAGAAAATGTACAGCTCCTCCAAGCCTCCAAGGGGAGAGTGAGTAAAGTTTAAAACTTATAAGGCTAAACTACATTCCAGGTCAATTCTTATGTAGGTTAGAAATAGGTCATATTCATTAGAAGTTAAAAGAAATAATACTCAAAACATATAAATACTACCAATTTAGTCCTAATTAAAATAATTCAACAAATATAACCATTAATATTTAAAATTGTCAGTTTAGTACTTATTCTTCTCCCAAATTATTTATTTGTTTATCGTTCATCATCATTCTATTTGTTACCCTCAATAAACACTATTGTATTTCATTTAAAATCATTAATCTAATATTGATGTTTATTAATGTAAATGTATATATAGTTATTTTAATGTTATATCTTTGATTACTAACTACAATAGGAGTATAGGACCAATGTCATTTTAGTATATTACATTAAAAAATTGTTGACAACAATCCTAAAACTAAGATTTAACCTATTAAACAACAATGTTTTTCATTAATGAGTTGTGTTCATTTTATAAACCAATAAATATAAACAAATATATGTTCAATTAATATGTTCATAAAATAACATTTTTAATATTCATTTTATAAATCAACAAAATATATATATGTGTGTTCAAAACCAAATTCATTTATTTTAAATATTAATAAAATAAGAATTAAATTAAACACAACATAAACTATAAAATTCAAATTTAGAAGCTTAGAAGTCTAACCAGTTAGATATTCCTACCATTGCTATTTGGTTGGCAAATCAAATTAATAGTAATGTTGCCAAACATTGAACAAATACTAATTAAATGCATTCAAAAACATTAAATAAACAGAATACAAATCTCTTTGAAAACAAATAAACAATTGAACATGAATATAGCATTATTCATTTATATTTGATCCATTTACACCTCTAATATCAATCAACTAATGTCACATTCCCCTTGATTTCTCTTGTTTGTCCCTTTCAGGTTCGATCGGAGGTAAATATGATTTCTCTAATAAAATTATGACCAATGTCTCCTATCGTTTCAATGTTTTCTGAAGACGAAGGAAATTTCTTGCAGAAATCTTACCACCAAGATCCAATTACAACTCTTCTTGTTTAATTCAAATTGAGCAAAAGTACGTTTCAATTTAGATTAAAAAAGAGCAATACCATGTTCGGGTTATAATGTACTTGTTTTGGTCCCGATGTATACAGATTAAATTACATGTTCAACCTCAAGCTGTTGTGATTCAGTAGTCCTATCATGGGGAAACAAAATATTTGTGGCGTTTCCAGGATCAAATGGCACGAAACAAAAGCCAAAAATCAGGATGACCACACATCTCAACATAGCGTCTGAGCCATTATTCCAAGAGGTACTAATCATCCCCCAGAATTGGTAATAGACGCATTTGCTAAATAAACAAAACTTAACAACAAATGTTTTCCAGAAATTAATCAAAGAGTATTAGGGGATTCAAAGCTCAGTGGAAGGAGAAGTCGTTAAAAAGAGAGGGCTCACGGCAGATCTTCCAGAAAGAAAGATCCAAATCCACTGCCCATCAACACTCATGTGTTCTTATCTCATCATAGCGTAAATCAAATCCCCTTTAGTCTCTAAAATACGAAACAAAACCATATTGTTCAAATACAAGATAAGGCCTCAGTGTGTGTAACAATCAGATCATTGATTAGAAAATCTCACTGAAATCCGCTAAGATAATTTTAAATTATCATCATTAGCCTCATATTTGAGAATTAAAAATATATATATATATACATATAAAAACAAGTTTGGTATAAAGAAGATTACTCAGACAGCCAAGGGTTAGTCTTCAATTTCTGGGAGAAGAGCCCAGATCAGAAACTCTAGTCCACAAATATATTGTTCATCACGGCAATCTTCTTTAATTTAAAATTTTCATGAATAAATAAATGAAACAAATTTGAAGTTAGAACTCGAAATTTTTGATTGAATAAACAGCGCCAAATAGAAAGAGAACAGAGTTGAGACTACTGATGAGAAGGGAGGTTCGAGGGAGAGAATATATAGTGTGAATGGGGGCTGAAATTAGGGTTTTTCAAAGTGATCGTTACGTTTGGGCTAGGGTTAAGGGGTTTTGACTGAGTCGAGGCACTGGTTGGCGGTTGAAACCTTGACGGTGAAACCTAACCAGGTTCAAAGTTTTGGATCACAACTATTATTGCTTAATTGGGCTGGATTGAATGCATTGGGCTTCCTTCTGAAACCTGTGTTCAATTTATAGTCGGTTTTAGTCGAGTCTTCAAAATACAAGTTTTCAAAATCTCAGATGAATTTTGATATATTTACGTTTGGATAAAACTTTTTGGCGAAGATTGATTTTGATTTACGATTTTATTTCTGTAAGTTAATCTTCTGTTGTGGTTCATTTGCCAATTAGGTCAGATCTATTTACATTTTTATTTGTTCTAATTTTTTGGATGAATTTTTAACTTTTTCTTTGTATGGATGGTCTTTATATGATCTTAAGTGTCTAGTTATATCAATTATGAACTCAGTTTATTAATGATATGAACTCAAGGAATTAAATTGTATTCCATTGAAGAACAAGAAATTACAGCAAGTAGAGAAGATAGAACGAGAAAAGGGAGGGAAGAATAGAGAGAAAACTAGAAAGGGAGAGAGTAACAGATTATAACAATGTTTCACGCCCTTCCTTCATTGACTCTACTATATTTTATACTTTATAGCTAGTTACCGTAACTAACAAAGCCATGGAATGTTGACCTGTCAATAATTGATAGGATTGCTGATTGGCATAGCTGCTTGGGTCATAACAAAATAATTAATATTTTAATTATGTGTCTAGTTTATTGTAATTATCATTTTAATTTTAATTTTTCTAATAAAACTAACGCTTTTATTTGCATAAAAAATATTAAATGTCAATTTAGATATGATTTAAATTAATTTGTAAATCTATACATGTTTATTATATGAATATAATTAAATTAGCGAATTAAAAAGAGATAGAAATGAACACATTAGATTGCTTTAATGGTAAAAGTAAATGTTATTTTTTAGAGGATAACTGCTCATAACATGTACATTGTCAATAACACAAAAAATTCTGAACATGTAATATCTTATAACCACTTCATACTATTTCAAAAAAAAAGACAAATCATCTTAAATTTTGTTAAGATATATGCTAAAATATAACAAATGTAATGATAACTCCTATCAATTTCTTGTTAAATATTTAATGGTGTTATGATTAAATATTTTTCCTTTAAAAATTATTAAATGACATTAGAAAAAGAGGAAGTAAATTGTATGTCTTCGTTCTAAGTTGATCATATGATAGACAATATAGTTCAGAGTGTTTTGAAGTTTCACAAGTTTTGAATTTAGAGTTGAGTTTTATAAGTTTTAAAGTGATTTAGGAAAAATCTAAACTGATAGAATGGTAGGAGACGATAAAACGAGTTTGTCAATATCTTAAATGGTTAGATAAGATGTGACGTAGCACATGAATTAAACAGTAAAACTTTCATCTTTTAAGAAAGAAAACAAAAAATATATGTGGATGATACATGAATTTTAATTTAACACTTGAATAATCAAAATACAAATAAATAAAAAATTAATCAATAAATTAAAAGAATTTAAACTTTATTAACTAAAATAAAAAAAAAAGTTGTATGATCAAATTTATAATTTCCCACTTATTAAGTAACACTGAGCTCAATTGTTCATAACATCACACTGAAACAACAAACATTCCCATACCCCATTTTGTATTCCAGTTTTGAAGAAACAACAAAGTTCTCCTTCCCCTGTTTTATTCCCTTAACCCCATTCCTCCAAATAAATAAAATCCGAAATTGGTGTTATGAAAGCTTAAAGACGAAATCTTTTATCACTCTACTCGTGATTCGATTAACCAAAAACATTTTTATGGCTTAACTGTTGACAAGTGCGCAATGCTTTCGGATCTCGCCTTCGGTTCCGGTCTTAACATTAATCCTGCCCGTTTTCTCCATAGATCTAGCGAACTGATCAAAGAAGAACTGTGGTGGACTCGAAAGGAGTTGTCGGATAAGAGCCAAGCTAGTTGAATCCGTAATTAAAGCATCATCGGATTGGAAAAGACCCCTTCTCTTGAGTAACAAAGTGTAGTAGCTTAGATCAAAGGTTTTTCTGCTCCCGGGGTCCATCTCAAGTCTTGTAGTGTTATCATTAGGTGTCCTACACTTGTTCGCCTTTAGGTTCTCGGCGTACTCGCTGTCCATCGTCGGGTCGATCCCGCCCGGGCCACTAGAGTTGTACAATCGGCGAGAAACTGTTGGACAATGCGATATGCCGATGGTGTGAGCACCTGAAAAAAGAAACAATTCATCAACCAAATGAATCGAAACCGTAAAATAACGATCGGTTTATCATATCACACCGGAGAGGAGGACCAAGTCGGTTGCGTTGAGTCCTTGGTTAGTGAAATGTGTAAGGAGGGTGGTGAAGTTGTCGAATGGTCCTGGGATATGGTTATTTGCTTCGGTGACATTAGTGATCACAAGAGAGGATATCGGCACAAGACACGACACCGGGGCATTCGGCTTCGAGGAGGCTCTTCACGGTATCGATGAAAGCAAAGCCCCTTAGTGTTCGGTTCGGGATCGCATTCTTCTCCCCGGTTGTTGAGTTTAGAAGGACAGATCCATCACATCCCTGCTTACATATTCATGTCTAAATATTCATTCGAATATAAAATACTTCAAGAAAAATGAAGAGTCCGAGCAAAATAATTACCCGGACAAAGCAATCATGAAAGTGCATTCTCAAGAAAGCAGCAGCGAGAGATGGTGCATTAGGGATATGCTTTTTCACATAGTTTAGCACAATCTGCTCAGCTTTAGGACAGCTCTTGGCATAAAAATCATCTGCAACTGAGCATGAGTTGAGCCGATGAATGCTAAAAGACCAAAGACAACAACAATCCCCAGAAAGCTTGTCGATCGTGTCATCTTCACTTACTGTTCTTTTGAAGACAGCAAAGTTTTATGTTAAGGTTTGGAAAACCAAGGAAGCTTTTTATGGTCGTTGATTTCAACTACTATATGGTTAAAAAAAATACAATAAATAAGATAATGAAGCCTGTTGTCCACGTACCTGTCTTAAAATATACTAAACCATAATGTGATTTGATGAATAGTGTAAATGAGATATAATGTTATTAGGTAATTCAAATTCGGCTATAATAAATCGAATCAATTTAATAAAATAAATAAAAATCAAATTCAAACTACTAAATGAGTAATACCTCTAACTATCTTATTTTCTTATTATAATTACTCGTCATTGCTAACGTGATTATTTTATAATAGTATTTTCTTTTGTAAATCTAATTTAAAAAATTATAGTGATAAATTATAATTATAATTCAAATTTATTTCGGATCGAACATAAAATTACTCAAAATCAAAATAATCTAAATCTAAAATTAACAGAAAATTAATTAGTCCCACTTAAATTAATTAGATCTAAGTACGGATTTGATCGATCAATTGATAAGTCAAATTGATAATAGTATAAAAGTGGCAGCTAAGCTAAGCATGTTAATGAGAGAGATTTGATGGAGTTTGATTCGTGGATTTGATAACGTTCACTAAAAACCAAGTGAGATAAGAACAAGATGATATACTTGAATAAAATCAATTGGTTCACCTGCTCGATGGCTAACATTTATTATATACATATTCTCTTCCTGTTATGATGTATTTATCTACTTTTCAATTTCAATAATTTGGTACCAATGCTCACGTTCCTTTTATAGTCCACAATGGGTAAATTTTAATAAGTATTATTCTTTTTTTTCTTATTTTAATTTTGTAAACATGACATTTGGATTATCTTTAATGGTTGGAATCTGGTATGTGTATTATGGATGTAATTATTTTGATTTTATTTTAAGTTACATTTAAATAAAATAATATTATCAACAATAATAAATACTGAATTTAGTAATAAATTTCAAAATAAATTAAATTCAATTTAGGATAGAACTATTTTTGAAAGGATTTTAATTATTAGATTAACGTTTTAATAAAATAAAATAAATAAATACTCTAAACCATGTGTTTGTCGGAATTGCTCACTCTGGATGGGCCAAATCCATGGAGAGTTTGTTTAATCATTGTTATTACAGAGATGATTAATATAAACAATAATACAAATGTGCTGACAAGTTATATATATAATGAAATAAAGCATATATTCTGCATGAACATTCTTTTAGATCCTCCAATTATTGACCTAAGCAGCATGAGTGTTACGTCCACATGCTGCTAATTATAATATTCCATTCCAACAACGCGACCGAACAGCTGTTAACAAGTTGCTGTTTGCAGTCTGGTTTTAA